GACTTGGTCGACTTAGTCGATCAGGGGTCGGCTAAGTCGACTTAGTCGATTAGCTGCATATCGGCTTATAACACTATACGTAATAAATTTTCATAAAAGCAAAAGTATAATAATTAATTAATAAGTGAGTTATCATTTCATGAAATTTTATTGGTTAATTAACATTGCATAAACTTTACTTTGACGTAGAACCTTTGCAGAACATTTGCAAATTGTTGGTAGCTTCATATATTTATTGTCCGAAGCATTAGCGAGGACTAGGGATGGGCAATGTAATCATTATGTAAGCGATAGCTAAAATTTAACCCTTACATATTTTATAAATTATTGCATATTATTACTGTATTAAGTAATTTAAGAGTCATCGATTACAAATAGTGTTGGGAAATCGGCACCACATTTAGTTTTGGACATATGTCCAATTTGAAAACAATTGGACATAGTAATCTTTCCAAAATTGTTTATGAACTAAATAAAAGGTTCGATCGTACCGGAATTAGCTATTTTTGCTAACCGAGTTATGTTGACTTCTGCTGAATTCTGCTGAAAGCGAAAGATTCTGGGTCATTGATTGCAAATATCCATTCACCACAGCGTAGCAAATTTATAAATGAACGTGCAACAAAAAATGACATGCATTCGATGCATATTGCACAAGAAACAAATAATTCACATCATATTGTTCAAAATAAAGAAAATAGGCTTATTCAAATCGTTCAAGCTAATACAACTAATTCTAATGAAGCAAGTCTTGAAAATACTGTATCGAATATTGAATTTGATTATATAGAAAATAATGATGATAATTTGGAAGAAAAATTTGAAGAAAATGTAATGCAAAAAATTGAAAACATTGGTAATTTTAATACTAATGATCAAATTATATATAATGAAGCCGTAATTGAACCTTCTATTCAAGCTACGCATAGTATTCAAGAAAATACCGATAATGTTTAATCATTAAATTAATCATTAATTGTATGCGATAAATTGAAATTTGTTGCTAAAAAATAAATATTAAGCGAAGTTTTTTTTTTATCTTGGCGTACTGATTTTACCATAATTTGTAAGAATATGTTAAAATATGTAATAAAATATGTAAAAATATGTAAGAATATATAAAATTTTTGCCCATCTCTAGCGAGGACTCATAAGTCTAAGCAGGTGTATGCAATGTCCGGTGCCTAAAGCCAATGAAATTCAAGAAATTTGGGTCCCGTGACCGATCTGCAGTCTGTGTACTACCATTATTACCAGAGATTTGGTTCCCATGACCGATCTGCAGTCTGTGTACTAACTAATCAGTTATATTAACAGTTAACGTTAACGTTAGATTACGTACGTACGTACAATAAATGACAATACCAAATAGTAAAGCTTTGAGAATACTATAGTATCATTCGTATTATCTAGATTCTGATTTCCTAGTATTATAATTTAGTCAAACTTATTTAATAAGAAATTTTAATTTATCCTTGGATGAAAAGTAAAAACCCATCAGCAAAACGAAGAATTACATACGTACTCGTTTGTTCTAAAAGTTCCAAGTTGCATAAATAGTACGTACGTACGTATGTAGTGGTGATCAATTGTGGGACTTCAAAACATTTTGTTATTTATCAGTTCAGTTTTGGATTTTCAATTATAATTTTTATAGAATCTATAAGTCTTTATTAGTTGCTATTATAAACCTAAAATACGTATCGTAGGATGATATGCAATGGTCAATAAAGTATATATTAATTTAATCAGAAGATCACGATAGAACATTGTGGCAATTCAAGAGTGTTAGCCACAATTACAGAATTACAGAATTAGAATAGATCAGAATTAGAATAGATTTGTGGAGCAACCAAAAATCAGCAGATCGACCAAAATTTAAGGTCGGAATAGGCCGGAATAGGCCGGAATTGATAAATTTCTCCCAAAATCACCACTAATAAAATGGTAGCCCACGTACTAATTAAAGCTGCCCAGATGATAATTCTGCTGTAGTATAGTTGACTATTATTATTGCTTAATGCCGGCCTAGGCCCGATCCTATTCCGACCCTAAATTTTGGTTGATCCGTTGAATTTTGGTTGCTCCACAGAGAATTATTACAGAATTACAGGACTAGCCACCAATTACACCAATAATTACACCAATTATTACACCAATAATTACACCAATTATTACACCAATTATTACACCAATTATTACAGATATATTCCGTACTCCACAATATTTGGGGTTGTTCAGGAATTAAAGTTTGTACAAAGAAACCATCTGAAGTATTTCTAGATGATATTCTACACAATTGTCACTATATAACCATTGTAAAAAAATATATGACCCGATATTAATTAATGCAAAACAACCTTAAGATTTCGCTAGACGAGAAAGATTGTCAACAATATAAGCATTGTTTATTTTTTTTGATAGTATTTACATATAATATAGCCATATCGATCGATATATTAACATTAACTCGGTTTTTTGTTTTAAAAAATTTTGACAAGGATGTGGAGTACATATACATTTTGACATACCTTTCTTTGAGAAGTAGGACTGTTCAATACAGATATCAATACACGATTATAGTTTTCAATATTTGTTTGGAAAAAGAAAACTGTTACCATAATAATTCTAATAATTCTAATAATTTGGATAGAATTGTTTACTATGACGTACTTTGAACAATCATCTATGTATTCTGTGCATTGCAATTCAAAAGCCTAAAAGAGACCAAAATTTCTTTAGCATTATAACATTATCGTTCTTATTATTGACTTAAAATATTAAATATTTAATTAAATATTAGTTTAAATATTAGTTTAAATATTAGTCATTGAGAAACTTATATAAAAACTTTTTATCTACGAACATACGTGCTCGTTCCTTTAGGAAAAAAACATTGTCTTTTTTTTTAAAAAAAAGACTTTCTTTTTTTTTTGAAAAAAAATTAATCAATTCGATTACATATTCCTTAACGTTAACGTTAAATACGCATACTACGTATTTTATGATAATTTATGATATAAAATTTATGATAAAAATTCTTATGATATATATAAAATTTATGACATCCCGAGTTGATTAAAAAAGCCACAATTCATTTCTCTTAAAGTGAGTTGATTTTTTTCTCTTCTGTTTATATAAAAGAAATATTTGATGAATGGTGATTTTATTGGTGAATCTTGTAATACGGTACCGGTAATAATGAACCATAAGCGATGGAAAAACTCGAGAAACAAACTCCCATTAGTAATCATATGCTAGTCGTAACTGACCTATGACGTTTTCGTACAGTGCACCAAAGAGTTGGAATATTTCTTAGATTCACGGACTGACATGTGAATTCATCTTTCTTTTTTTATCTTTTTTACCAGCAAAAGAATAATCAAATCCAAAGATATTTATATACTTAAAGCCTATCTTTTCCATATACCGATTAAATCTCTTTTATTTTCCTTTTATATATTACGGTAAGACCCTGTTATTTACACCATTATACATTTCCTCGTGCTTACGAGAAAAAAAAAATAAAGAGGCAGGAGGAACTAAAATGTAAGAAAGGGCGTTTGACTAAACTCACTTTCTTTGCTTTTTCATTTCCTCTTGCTTTTTTTATGATCAAGCTGCAGCAATTGTATTACTGTTGGTCTTATATTAAAAAAACCTCTTATACGCCTTATTTTTCTTATTTGCTTAATTTACATTTTTTATCTAATAATTCCCTTCTTATTAATTTATTGAAATTTTGGTTATCAATAAAAGCTTATAATATTAACTAACTAACGCCGTATGTATCTATATTTTTCCTTTTGTCTTTTTCTTTATATTTTGCTTGGGTAGATATTACGGACTTTGTGCCTCAATAAATCTACAATTCAAAAAATATCTAAAAAACTTCTCGTTTCAAATGTTTGCTTACAACTTTATTTCGAACTTAGTGTTTGGTGTCTCGGAACTTAACCAATCTAACCTACCAAAGACTGCTCAAATACCTACAAAATCTCGAGATTCCTTCTCCAATTCCTCTTACTGCAGTAATCACAAGCACGTTAAGCCACATCTCAACTTTTATCAACAGAATACTTTTAATAAACACCAACATCACTCCCATTATCACCAATATAATAAACATTATTCAAATAAAAAATCCTCTTCCCAAAAGGCACGTTACTCAAAAGCTCCAAAAATGCCTCCAACTGCATACTCAACCTTTCATGCTCATTCTACAACAGCCTCTGCTTACGTTGCTGC